TGTCAAAGTCAATGCGTGCAGCATTGACACAAGACCGAATGCCTGTCCAGCCAGGAAGTCAACTCTTAAGTAGCGTGGATGCGGGGTCTGGACCCTGGGTGCTGAAGTCCTGCACCGTCCAGATCTCGATGTGAATGAGGGCCCAGATTGGCCAGAAACTGTATTTCTCCTGCCCTGAATGCTATCTGGGTACGTGCACACAACAAGTGAATGTATCCGACCATAGGCCTGGGCGCGGTACCTTTGACTCTACAGTTGACTTTGACTGTTGAATTTCCTTTGTGCCGCATTCGGTCACACAGCCTCCTCGACAGACTCAGGCTGGGCATGTCTCGGTCACATAGCCTAGCACAGACAACAGAGTCTGTGTTTTTACCGGGGGCAAAGTTCTGAGCCCCGGTCTGCTGCTGAATAGGGTTACTGCATTCCTGCCGACCCAAATTTCGAGTTCCATCGCAGAAACATTTAAGGTTTCAACCCACGTTCATAAGCAGAGACAATATCAGGAGCAGATTCAAGGAGTTCCCTTTTACTAAACTTTCTGTCCTGAGATGGTGCCTGACTCTTAAAACGAACTTTGAATTGCTTCTGGGGTCTTCCTCGTGCACCTGTAGAGAAGAACCCATGTTCTATAATGCGGTCCACTTCATATCCACCATCCATGTCTGGCGGTATCATAGATGGTCTATGGGGGAATTCATCTCCTTCTACATAAGGTAGCAACTTGGACGCATGAAAGACAGAATAGGTCTTGAGATGAGGGGGTATATCAATTCTGTAAGACGGTCCCTCTGCAACTCCAATCACTTTAAGAACTTCCCAGGGTCCAAAATAGACAGGCAAAAGTTTCTGAGACACATTTTCTTCTAGTGAAAACTCTTTAGACTTGATCCAGACCAGATCACCTTTTTTGAACGTTGATAGTTGTCGATGCTTATTAGCTTGTTCGATCATATGGTCTTGAGCTTTCTTTAGGTTCTCCTTTACCTTTCTAATGTCTTCTTGAAACAATACTGCGTATTTGCGGGTCCCTGGAGGTAACCTAAGAAACTGGTCCCTCGTCAATACATCAATGGGACGCTTAGGTTTCCATCCTTTATGCAGTGCGTTAGGTGTTCGTCCTGTAGAGGTATGAACACTACTATTATATGCACTTGCTATCTTAGGTAAGTTCTCATCCCAATCTATTTGATCGGGTCTGACATACATGCGCAGAAGTTGTTGGCACAAACGGTTCATTTGTTCACTCTGTCCATTCGTTTCAGGGTGTCGCCCTGACGACATGGTTAGACGTGTACCGTATGCCTCCATCAGCTTTTGCCATGGCATACTTGTGAATCTGGTATCGCGGTCAGATACAATGGATTGAGGTAAACCATACTCAGTCACCCATCGCATCTGAAACTTTTGGATCACAAGTTTCGTTTTTGCTTCCGCGGGTAAGGGAATGAACATAGCGTACTTAGAGAAACGATCTACAATCACCATCACTTGACTATTGCCATTCCGACTTTTGGTGAGACTCATGAAATCCATGGAGATAGACTCACCTGGTTCGCTAGGAATTGGTAATGGTCTGAGAAGACCAAGTGGATTCTCATGTGAGGGTTTGTTTCTCTGACACATAAGACAAATGAATATAAGTTAGTACATCCTCTTTCAATCCCTTCCATTCAAAGCGTTCTCTAACTTCAGCGTAAGTTTTCTTGAAACCAAAATGACCTTCAGTGTCGTGACATTCCCCAATAAGTAGACTTTTGTTTTCTTCCTAGTGAGGAATACACAATCGTTGTTCACTTTGGTCTAACAAGAAAAACAAACCATCAATTACCTTATAGTTGGGAAGTAGACTCGGGTCTTTCGCAAGGACATCCATGATAGGTTTCCATATCGGGTCATTAACATAGCCTTGACGAATTCTATTTTTCAGATCATTCCCAACGTCTAGGTAAGAGACAATTGCACCAAAGAAATCACATCTTCTAGACAATGCATCTGCAACCACGTTAGACTTACCTTTGATAGTGTTCAACTCAAAATCAAAAGTATCAATGAATGCAGACCATCGTACTAGCTTATCAGAGAGCCTAGGCTGTGTCTTTATCCACTTCAGGGTAGAGTGGTCTGAATACACAGTGAAGTGTCTCCCTAATAGATAGTGTTTCCAGGTGTCTAAGGCACAGACTAACTCATACAATTCCCTTTCATAGGTAGAATTAGCAACCTTTTCAGATGGCAATCGTGCAGACATAAACTCAATCGGTCTGTAACCATTGTCGTCGTTCTGTTGAAGAACTGCGCCAATCCCATACTGACTTGCATCAGTTGTGACAATAAAGGGAAGAGATGGATCAACAATTTTCAGAACAGGGTAGTGAGTCAGAGCGTACTTTACCTTTTTGAATGAGGACTCACAATCCTTGTCCCACAACCAGATCGNAATTTTCAGAACAGGGTAGTGAGTCAGAGCGTACTTTACCTTTTTGAATGAGGACTCACAATCCTTGTCCCACAACCAGATCGTTCCTTTCTTTAGCAATCTTCTCATTGGTGCAGCGATCAATGAGAAGTTTCTGACAAACTTCCTATAGTAGCTTGCCAAGCCAAGAAAAGATCGTAACTCAGTTACAGACTTTGGTTGTGGCCAGTCTCTAATTGCTGATATTTTCTTTTCTTCAGGCCTGAGGCCATCTTGGTTCACTATATGTCCTAAGTATAAAACTTCAGACTTAGCGAACTCTGACTTCTTCGGGTTGATTTTGAAGTTGCCTTCTCGCAACTTACTCAAAACCAGACGAAGATGTTTCTTGTGTTCTTCTAGTGTTTTACTATACACGAGAATGTCATCCAGATAGAGGATGACGAACTGATCCAACCATTGACGAAATAACTCGTTCATTGACCGTTGAAATGTAGCAGGAGCATTAGTCAATCCGAAGGGCATTCCCATAAACTCGTAATGGCCATACCTGGTCCGGAGAGCAGTCTTGTGTTGATCCGCGGGCTCCACCTCGATCTGATGGTACCCAGACTTCAGATCAATTTTACTGAAGTACTTGCATCCCTGTAGTTGGTCAAGTAAATCGTCGATGCGAGGGAGTGGTTCGGCATTCTTGACAGTGACAACATTCAACCCTCGATCGTCAATACATAGACGTAATTCACCTTCCTTCTTGGGCACAAACAAGACAGGTGCTCCATAAGGAGATGAACTAGGGCGAATCCATCCCTTGTCAGTAAGGTCCTGCAGTTGCTTCTTTAACTCCTCAAGTTCCCTAGAAAACATTCGATAGATAGGGCCCTTAGGAATTTTACTACCCGGAATAATCTCAATAGTGTGCTTTATAGTACGTTCAGTAATTCCGGTGGGTTCTTTCTGCAGATCCTTATATTCAAAGAGAAGACTTTCAATCGTCGGAGGACAGGAAGAAAAAGACTCACCGACTTTCTTTACTAGTACCAACATGACTTCCTGTTCCAACTTTTTCTTAGAAACCATCGAACGGAAAGTTGGATAACTCATACAGCAAAAGGATAGACTTGAGCCAGAGCCAGACTTATGATATAATTTAATTGGTTTCATTTCTGATTCCACATCTTTCAGTTGCACAATCTTGTTTTTGAAATCAATGTCTGGGTTGGCTTCTTCGTGTCAGTCCATACCCAGATTGATATCAAAAGGTAAATTCTTTTCTATGAGGAAGGATAATTCATGCACAATCTTCTTTCCTTCCCTTGTTCGAAACTGACACTTAATACGATCAACATACTGAGAGACAGTGATTGTACTCTTGTCTGCTAACATAGACGTTATAGGTCGAGACAAGTCTTTTACCTTCATGCCGAGATGCAACTTACGGATTGCCTTCTCAGAGATGTAGGATCTTGTTGATCCTTGGTCTAACATTGCACCAACTCGTGTTCGTGCGATCTCAACATCTGCAAACAACAACTCGCCCTTAGTCTTCGCCTTTCGAGCCCATGAGCCACGTAATGCTAGCAATTCGTTACCTAGCTCATCAAGGGAGTCATCCAGAGAGACAGAACATAAGACAATGTCAGGGCGATCTGGATGATGGGCTAAGGAAGAATCATCCTCTGCCAATTGAGAAGAAGGGTAGGAAGGGGTCGTAGGCGCCTTACCTGTCTGTTCGTTCTTACCCTTAATCTCAGTAGAAGCAGATGCTACTCCTACTGGCTGTTCGCTCTTGGGTTCCGGATCTGAGGGCAGTAGGCGATCACATGTCCCGGTGTGCCCCACTTGAGACATTGCGCATTATCCATGCGCTCCTGCCAAGTCTTTCTAGTCATACCCATCTCGACCCATGGCTTCCCATCAGCAATGCCAGGGTGCCATGGGAACGCTCTTTGTTTCTTCCCTCCTGTCCTGGGTGGTCCTCCCTTATTGGCCACAACAGCAGTGACTTCCCCCTTCCCGGAGTCACTGTTGTTATCATTCTCCTCGTTCGGCCACTTTTCCACTGTGTCGTCATCAAAAACAACAAGGGTGTGGTCCTGGCGCTTCTGTCGCCAGAGAACTCGTTTCCCATTATACTGTCTTCCTCCTCCTCCTCCAGACTTGACTACCGCTGCATAGGAATTCTTGACTTGAGAAGTCATCTGTTCCCTTTGCAGGGCGAGGTCACGAAATTGCCTGTAGTTGTACTTACCGAACTTCGCTTCGGTGACTAAATGTCCCCGAATGGGCTCAGGCAACGCGCGGGAATAGATGTACAACACTTGGCTGTCCTGCAGCTTCAATCCAGGAACCTGCAACAATCGGTCAACTTCTCGGGACAAAGCCTCAACTGACGTCCAATGCTTTTGACCAATTGACGTCAACTGGTCAAAGGCCTTGTCGACCGTCGTCTTGTCGAGGAAACGGTCCCTGGTTTTCGCCAAGAACTGTTTCAGTGTCAGAGTCTTTGCTAACTCACCGATATCTTCGAAACCCGCCACATTGGCCTCGGCCAACATCCATTGCTTGGCCTCACCACCCATGCAAGAAGTGGTGAACGCGACTTGGGACTCCGGCTCGACGGGTGCGGTACTCACGTACGTCTGGATTTCTGCAATCCACAACAAGAGACTTTCTTCTTTCTTGTTGCAAAACGTAAACGGCAACGTCATCTTCACTTTTTTTTCTTCTTCGGTTTTTCTGGTTCACTTGTCTTTGCTGGAGTTTCTTTAGGAGTAGGCTTAGAAGAATGAGAAGAGTGAGGAGTAGATGGTTGACTTGATCCATTTCCATTGGATCCATCTCCATTGGATTCATTTCCATTAGTCGTTGTCTTTATCACGGGACCAGCAGACTTCATTGCATCCCCCATCAACTTCTTTACTTCTTTCTTCTCCTTCACCTCTTCTTGTTCTTCTTCTCCCTGAATCTGATTCTTACCTTTCACAATATTAGCAATTGTTCTCAATCCAACAGTGATTTCATCCAACTGATTTTCCTGTCTATCAATCTTCTCCTCAAGAAAGGTAAGATATGTCACAATATGAGCCAACGTTTGTGACATGTCAGTCTGTTCACCTACTTCTGTTCCTATGACTTGCCTTATCTCTTTAACTCTTTGTCCTCTTCGTTGTTCCTGTTCTCTTCTTCGACATACTTCTTCTTTCTTTCTTTCTTCCGCAGCCAAAGCATCTCTTAGCTGCTGGATATTATAATCAATCGATTCTTCACTTACTTCTGGTTTTACTTCCCCCTTACGAGTAGCTTCCATGATCTCTTCCAGTTGCCTCAAAGCAAGCTGGTATAGAGCCTGTCGCCCTTGAGCAATCAGTTTGGAGGCCTCTGTACCGGCTGCCACAACCTCCACAGTCGTGATAGACTTCTTCAGGCGGTCTTCAACCCCCTGAAGATCGAAATTATCACGGATGTGTTGCTCGGCATCCGGTCCAGACAACTGTACCTCAATCAGAAATTGACTCCACAAAGCCAACAGTTCTTCTCTCTTCTTATCAGCCTGTCCCCTTGTCCTAGGTTCAGACGGTCCTTCCCCAACGGGAAGTGTGATCGGGAAAGGAAACAGAAAAGTAGTCAGGAATCTCGTCAAGATAGACTGTTGCAGACATTTCCAGAAGTAAGACATCTTGAGAGAACGAAAACACAAAAATTCGTTGGCCAGATTATTTTACCGCAAAATAAACAATGATTCACGGTCAACTGAATCAGCACACTGTTCTACCGCAAAAGATAAACAACAATTCTACGATTACCTGGACCAACACGCTGTCTGAGTCAAAAAGAATAATAATAATAATGAACAGAAGTTTTCTAATTCTATTTGCTGTTTTGTTTTCAATGTGATGACATCCTACTCTATCTCAGGTACCGTGACTCCAGGCCAACATGATCATCAACAAACACAAGTGAGTACACAGGCCCACAACACAGCCAGACAACAGGTAAGTCCGCCAACAAAATCAATCAATAGTTAGCGTTTTCCCCTTCTTGCTGTTTCATCCTTCTTTGTCCTGTGTGACCAGCACCCAATCTGACGTTCGGCACCACAGCCACGTCAGTCTTCTTGCCGTGCCGCTTCAGTCATCAGAATGCTGTCCTCACTTAGGCACGGTCGTGCCTGCTACGTGTCACCCCTGGCCTGCCAACTCAGCAACTCTATGAGTATGCCTGGTCAGCAGGTCTAATCAATATCATCAATGGGGTGCACGTCAGCAATGTATGCTGAAATCGAAATACCAGCCTGCCCCGAAGTTGAAGTTCCAACCTGCCACGTGTATCCCCTGGAGTGCCAACACAGCAGCACCTCTGTCTGCCACGTCAGCACCGTACTCCAGTCATCATCATCGAGGGGGTACACGTCAGGAGCGGTACCAATGCGCCACGTAAGCCAGGTAACTGAATATGACACTGCCACGTCAGCCTCCTATCTCACCGAATGGTGAGTCAGCAATGCCACATCATCAATCTGCTATCATCCACTGGCCACGTCAGCGATATATCAATGCCACGTTGATGCCACGTCAGCATATGACGTGCGCTATTATCAATGCCACGTCAATGCCACGTCAGCATCTGACGTGCGCAGTCTTGTCCACCTCAGTCTTCGTTGTAGATGTCACATTTGTCGTTGTCGTGTCAGTCACATTATCGGAAGATCTGCTCCGATACCAAATTGCAATGAGCCCAGACATGATGATACTCGTCAACATTACCAGTCCATATGATTATCGATCTGCTGATGAATGACAAACAATCACAATGTGTGTGATGATAGAACGAGGTGAGAATCATACACAGACGAAGGAGGAGAGAGGGGGAATAGACAAAGGAGAGAGAAGAAGACAACAGCCCACTTCTGCTTCGGGTCCCTCCTCCTCCTCAACACCTCATCAATCAATAGTCCGATTACAATGTCTGAAGTTCTTCCTCAATGTGCCATGTGGCACGTCAATCTGTCYWCATCAGCAATGGAGAGTATCGTCATCAACCAGGTACGTAACCTCRATAACCACASTCTTGATCCCMTTCCGAAGTGACGAAGAATCAGAACAGTCTCCTCAATCTCGCAGCCCGCCACGTCATCAATCATATACAAGTGGCAGCGGCCACGTCAGCAACGGCGCGTGGCAGCTGCCACGTCAGCATGCCCAGAAGACCATAGSCAGCCAGCCACTATGCCAGCCAGCAACGCCGTRCTGTCCTCCTCCTATSCCAGCGTAAAGCCAGCGTCAAGTCAATGTCGCAATATCGCAGYGTTGCARCGTCGCCGCGTCAATGTCAAAGTCAATGCGTGCAGCATTGACACAAGACCGAATGCCTGTCCAGCCAGGAAGTCAACTCTTAAGTAGCGTGGATGCGGGGTCTGGACCCCGGGTGCTGAAGTCCTGCACCGTCCAGATCTCGATGTGAATGAGGGCCCAGATTGGGCAGAAACTGTATTCCTCCCGCCCTGAATGCTGTCTGGGTACCTGCACACAACAAGTGAATGTATCCGACCATAGGCCTGGGCGCGGTACCTTTGACTCTACAGTTGACTTTGACTGTTGAATTTCCTTTGTGCCGCGTTCAGTCACACAGCCTCCTCGACAGACTCAGGCTGGGCATGTCTCGGTCACATAGCCCAGCACAGACAACAGAGTCTGTGTTTTTACCGGGGGCAAAGTTCTGAGCCCCGGTCTGCTGCTGAACAGGGTTACTGCATTATTCTCATTTTTTAATCACTTTTATCGAATTTGGTTCTGAGCTTCTAGTTGCAATCACTGCCATAAAGCACAAAACTTCTTTTTTGCCAGATTCTAGAGATTTTTCCGATTTGTATTTGAAACTGACAGAAACCGGAGAATGTATACTTAAATATTCTCAACCCACCTTGATGTCATCCAAGGAGGCCTCCAGATTTTCGGATTCTGGACCATGGTCCGGATGTAGCACCTGAAACGGTTTCACTTGTCGCAGGACAGTTAGCCGCACCCAAGGCTCGATCCCTAGACCTTCCCCCTTACCCGTGTACAGTACCAGTTGACCCGTGTGTGTTTGAACCCGCGAACTGTATTCTGAAAGTCGTCGGTTTGGTTCCTGTGCGATCGTCGGGTCTTGAACCGTACGTCTGTAGATTAGAGGTCTTAGCAGTGGTAGGAGTCGTAGCTGCTACAGTGTTGAAAGGTCAATGTCGTAGCTGCTACAGTACCGAAGGGTCAAGTGCACTGTCTTCCGGAAGATCCAGAACTGGCCCTTCGTGAGTCCTAGGACGCAGTCCATAGGCAAGTGGTCAAGTGGGCGGTCGTACCCAGTCCCGGTCGCAATTTGTCAAGTCTGCAAGTACAATGTGGGACTGTATGCACCCCGGGCCCAACGTTCAAGGGCAGACCATGACAATCCGAAGTATAAATAAAGAGGCAGCAATCAGTCATACATTCATTCGGCCTGTGAGTCGTGTGGAAGTGCTGTCGGAGCGTCTTGTGTACGAAGGTCTGCAGGTGCTCGTTGACGAAGCGGGCTAAGAGAAGGAAGATCGGCCATAGCCGATAGTTAGTTAGTAGAGGAGAGAGACGGCGGCCATAGCCGCCATGTCAGCAAGATTAGAGTGTTAGTGGGTGGGTGTGTACATGCATGTGTGAGGGACATCCAGGGAGATCCAGGGTGTGTGTACGAACAAGTTGCTGAGATTGCAGTGATCGGCCATAGCCGATTGAGACAAGTTTGAATCTGAACTGTGTTCTTGTCTTCGTTATCTCTGAGCTTTGTGTGGGCGCAAGTCGCCAGCTTGATCATCATTTGTTTGTACGCACTCTGAAGTCGAAGAAGTCGAGTCTGATTGCATTGGTATCAGAGCTGGTTCCCGCTGTCCCGATCGTCGCTGTCGTCATCACCATCGTGGCCGCCATCGCTGAAGAAAGGAGGGAGAGCCACGTCAGCTTCGTGCGCCCAAAGAGGAAGGGCGGCACACCATAGCCGTTCGAAGGAAGGGAGAAGGCGCCAAGTGGAGGGAGCGCCGCGTCAACCGTGCGCCCCGTCAAAAGAGATAGGCCTCCGCCACGCCTGCCTGCACACTGCCCGTTATTGCATGCGCGTCCCGTTAATTGCTGCTGCGAGCACTTCGCCATTTCCCGCCCGTGGCCGCTGCCGCTACGCGCTGCCCTGTTGTTCGCTCTGCGCCTGTTGTTGCTAGATTGCGTCCGCTATCAGCTGCGCACTACTCCTGTTGCCGTAGCTGCCCGCTACTCATCTCGCGCCCGCACGCCCGCTACGCATTGCACACCAAGTTTTCCTGCGCGCACCGGGATTGATTGCGTTCCGCTACCCACTACGCGCCAACTGCCTGTGCGCAACGTGTTGCGCCCGCTATTTCCGCGTTTGTTGTTTGACGGGTGCGTTCATGTTTGCGCGCCAACAGCACCAGCAGAGCTGAAGATTGTCGAGAATGCAACCGTCGAAGGAGAAGGCTGGAAGAAGACCGCCCTGCTACGCTGAAGAAGATCGATGCCGTCAAAGAGGAAACAGCTGCGCCGTTGGAGAAGATCGTTGCGCCGTTGAAGAGGGCCGTTGCGCCGAGCAGAAAGCGGGCGGCCATACTTGTCGAACCCGCGAAAGGAGACA